AAATGCCTAAAATTTTTAGGCGTTAGTTATTTAAATGTTCAACTTTAGTTAAATATAATTTGAGAGCGGAATTCACTGTGATAAATTAAAAAGTGTGTTACAAAATCGCAAGGCACTAAATAAAAATACCAATACCATCTTAATAGTAGTAGTAATATAGTACACGTCCTATAAAACTGTATTTTAAAGTTTACGGTAATCAGTTAGACTAAAAGTAGAAATAAGTAGTAAGCGGAAAAAACAAGAAGCTATTGTAAGCTGAAGGAATATGAAAAATACGAAGCAGAAACATCAAGATGAAAGGAGTCTTCTGTAATTATTTTCATTGTTCTCGGTCGTAATTTGACGAATCCAACAAAGTTGCCGGATCTTCGATCTTTCTTTCGAAGAATTTCGCTGGAACAAGAGTTGAGAGCTGTCAGAACTATCTTTAAATATAATAATAATTTTTAAAATTGGTTTCTGTTTTTATGTCTCAAGTTTAAAACTATAGTTGTGAGTACGAAATTACCGCTTTATATCTATTTCAAACTCGCTAAAATAAGTTATACGATAATAAACAAATAAAAACAATTTTAAACATGTGGCAATAAGCACATAATTATCGAATAATAAAGATGCACTCCGCTTTTTTTTCAAAATATTAAGGCTACGCAATTTGGACTGATGGAGGCTGTGTGACGAACCGTAAAAGGTCACCAATTCATGTTAACTTTGCTAGATTTTCCGTAAATATAAAACGAATGAGCTGCTCCACATTTTGCTTGTATTTCATAAAACCTATTGGTCCGAGAGCTGGCACCAATTTTTGGGCAGGTATTTGAGGCAAGCTGAAAACTTGTCACATACCTCTCCTATTATATTCCAACACGGAATTGCAGACCTGGCTGGTGAGTAGCGGGGCTAAATCAACCCCTACATTTTTAAAAATATTAATTTTTTTTCCCCAAAAATATATTTGAGGCAATACGCAATTTATATATGTTGCAGTGTAATACTTAATAAATACGAAAAAAAATAAGCCAGACGATTTAATCGGGGCTGTAACATTACCAGACGCGTGCAAAAATTTTTTGCAAAAAATTATAAAAAATGTTTTTGAGGCAGCTTGAAATTTTAATGGAGTGTTATTTATAACTATAAAATAAGATTCCCAAAAAGACAGATCATTTCGGTAGGGCTTTCTACCTGCCAGGTGATCAAACAAATAATGGATGGGTACGGGCCTGTACTACTATAGACAAGCTGTAGTGTGAGAGAGAGTGCACATATCGACAGCTGTCTTCGTTCTTGCTTGCCGCGTTACTATTGGCTCTAGCGAGGCCACGTGACTTACAATAACCCATGAGGTTTCTAGTTAGAATTTCGGAGTAAAAAATATAAAAAAACTGAATTTGTACTAAATACATTTTGCATAATAGTGATTGTATTGATTTATGGACGTTAAAGGGACATAATTTTGTGATTTCTTTTTTATCTTAAAAAATTAGTTATTTTACCAATTTTAATGCGAATTTAAACGTAATGAATGAAATGAAAAATGTAGGGGTTGATTTAGCCCCGCTACTCACCAGCCAGGTCTGCAATTCCGTGTTGGAATATAATAGGAGAGGTATGTGACAAGTTTTCAGCTTGCCTCAAATACCTGCCCAAAAATTGGTGCCAGCTCTCCTACTATATTCAAAGCAACAGTCACTCAACTCACACATCAAATAACTGGAGTGCGGGAGGTGCTTCAATATTTCTTAGTTATGTAGTTATGAAGTATTTTAGCATCTTTTCACTAAAATTGAATTGAATTGAATTCAGTAGGTCATTGTAAAAAAGTAACGGGTGTTTATGCATACCGATTCTTGCAAGCGTTCTTGCAGAGTGGATGGAGGAGGAGGAGGTGGAGTCCATGGGCATTACTTAACTTTAGGTGAGCCGTCTAAGGTTAGCTTTTTTCTTAAAAGAAATTCTAAAGCCAATCCTTAACAGGTAAAATTTTCCATGTGAGACGGATATAAATTGCAGTTAGATCCATCGCTGGGATTTGTCAGACTCTTAAATCCATTCGAAATCTGTCTTTTTGCTAATGTAAACGATTTTCTCGACGTCAACCTCGAGACGTTTTACCAATGAAACGGTTCAGCAAGTGTTTAATCAAAACCTGTTTATAGAAACATGAATACCGAAATTAATGTAAAAGTAAAGCATAGTACGTTATATATTTGTGCTGAAGATTGTGTAATTTCTAGATATCTTAAATTTATGGCTAATCCAATAAGTATCCTCATTATACAGCATTAAGTAGCATGATAAGATCTCTACTAACGCGAGCCGATTAGATTATGTTTGTAATAAAAAACAATCAAGGTTTCTAAATAACATTATAATTAATGGAGCAATACTTGACACTAACTTTTGACACTTTAGCACTTTTTGCGTTAAATAAAAATAAATTATTAAATTATTATGTTTCATAAAATGTTAAAAAAGCTAATATAAACAATGTACTCACTCGTTAAAATCCAGGTAATGCATTATTTTAAGTACTTCCACAAAATTATCAATGCATATTAGTATTTTTATATATCAAACTTATTTATTAGGTCCTTACATATGAAATTGGCGTATTTCGTACTGGCCACTTTAATCACGATGTTCTCCTCTTTGGTAAGGAATGCCAAATTCAAATTTGTACAGCTATTTACTCATGTATTTGTGCTTCGATGACCGTCATTCATTTGTTTTCTTCTTCTGTTTTTTTCTGTTTGCGTCACTGATTTTACAAAATGGAAAACTTAAAGTATCGCATTATTTACGAGTACGAGTTCCGCCGTGGCACTAGTGCTGCGGAAACGACTCGAAGGGTGAATGATGTGTATGGCGGTCATGTTGCAAAAGAAAACACAGTTCGTTTTTGGTTCCAACGTTTTCGTTCTGGAAATTTTGACCTGCAGAACAAGCCCCGTGGACGGCCTGAGACCCAAGTTGATAATGAAGTATTGAAGGCTATTGTGGAAGCGGATCCATCGCAAACCACGTCCGAGTTAGCTGCAGGCTGCGGTGTTAGTGATAAAACTGTTTTAATTCACTTGAAGCAAATTGGGAAGATTAAAAAAGCTTGAAAGATGGGTACCTCACGAATTGACTGAAGCAAACCGGCAAACGCGCGTCGACTGCTGCGTTACATTACTGAACCGGCACAATAATGAAGGTATTTTAAACCGAATCATTACCTGTGATGAAAAATGGATTCTTTACGATAATCGGAAGCGCTCAGTTGGATCCTGGCCAGCCAGCCAAATCCTGCCCCAAGCGAAAATTAACCCCAAAAAAGTTACTTGTAAGCGTTTGGTGGACTAGTGCCGGTATTGTTCATTGAAGTTTTCTCAAATCTGGCCAGACTATTACGGCTGATGGCTATTGTCAGCAATTGCAAACCATGATGAAAAAGCAAGCGGCTAAACAAGCTAGGCTGGTCAATCACTCCACGCCACTGCTACTTCACGACAACGCTAGACCACACACTGCACAACAGACGGCTACCAAATTAGAAGAGCTTCAATTGGAATGTCTAAGACATCCTCCGTACTCCCCGGACCTTGCTCCAACAGATTACCATTTTTTTCGAAATTTGGACAACTTCTTACAAGGGAAAAAATTTAACTCTGATGGGGCAGTCCAAATCGCCTTCACAGATTTTATTGATTCCCGTCCGACTGTTTTTTTTAGTAAAGGGATCAATGAATTACCTATGAGATGGCAAAAGTGCATAGCAAACAATGGTTCATACTTTGATTAATTAAATATATTATATTTAAAAATATTCGACTTTTTGTTCCTCCCATACAAAACGCCAATTTCATATGTAAGGACCTAATATTTATGTTGCAACTCCTACAGTTGCCATTGACAGATCTTATGACTAGTGTTTAAGGCAGATTGTCAATGTCCAGAGAAGCTATAATGATTATAGATTTGCGAGTTAATTTCTATTTATTTACAGCCAAATACTCTGTTGGTTTGAGGGGACTATTTTAAAACTTGCTTCATGTTTAATATATCTTTTCCAAGCACTACACATTTATTACAATAATTTATGTTTAAATATCATTAGGATGTTAAACTGTCCGCGTCTTTAAGAGAAGTACATTTTCGTAACAGAAACCTTTCATTTTATATACAATTTTACAGGTATTCCAATATTCTAAACTAAAACTTTTTCTTAACATGTTGCCTGCCAGTATTTACATTTCTAATCCGCATATAATAAATAATATGACTAATATTATATATATTTTTTATAATGTATATGAAGTCGTGTGATTAAACTCAAATTGTGCACTTAGCTACAATATTCATATAAACAGACATGTATTTAAAATAATGGAGTAGATGAGAAGCGGATCACAAACTTGTTAATTAATAAGTTATAACATTTGAACATCAATATTTGACTTTGGACTAAAACTTGAATCTAATATGTATGTTCTCTTGGTAAATGGACCGCGGAACCAAAATTAGATTTGATTTCAAAATTATATTGGAAGATTAATATTTAGATTGTTTTGTATTCGTATAACCCAGTAATGCCTACATAATTTGTTGGTCCACTTTAGATTTACCTAGTTATTTATTTTTACCTTTCTTTTTATTGTTGCAGACGTGAAGTATAATACTCAGTTTGCATGAATCTGAGCGAGAACTTAATTTCAACTTTTAACTTAAGGAATAAAATATTAAGTTTTCCTTAAAGTTTGCTTTATAGTGCATTGTAATTATACGAATTTGGTTTGTTGTGTGAACTAATGTCATTTGAACTAATAGTTTTTTCTCTGTAACCCGTATCAAAATGCACAGCGTGAGCGTGTTTCTCCATACAAATTAAAATTAATGTTTCAGTGGTAAACAATGGTTTAGTAAAATATAAGTTTTAAATTAAAAAAAATTGTAAGTAGATAAAAAGATGGTCGTATCATACATTTTAATCTTTTCTTTAATCTTTATTGCAGCGTCACGAATATCTTTCTGGTGAATCTCTCTGCAGCAGATCTTCTGGTGACGGTTGTATGTATGCCTATCCAGCTAAGCAAGGCTATCACCCTCGTATGGTACTACGGACAGACCATCTGCAAAATATTTAACTATATACAGGGTTAGTAGTAGGAATAATGTTCACCTTCCTCTAAGATTATTTAAAGATTTTATCGCTTTTCTCTGTTTTAAAGAAATTATATTTATAATATTGGCCATATTTATACAGAGATTCTATTTCTATTACCAGGTGTGGCAGTGGCGTCTAGCGTGTTTACTTTGACCGCAATGTCCGTAGACCGCTGGGTGTCAATCGCGCCAGAGCCGAGGCTGCGCCCTCCAGGACGCCGCCAAGCTTTGCTGCTGTTGGGGCTATTGTGGACCTTGGCAGCACTAATCTTTATACCTCTTGCTTTAGTTGCTTTCGTACGAACGGAGTCAGTTCCAATCATATCACACACACGAACGAACATTTCGGTATGTCAATTTGCGTAGGAAACAAAACAAAGTAAAATCCTACTTTTCAAATCCTAATTAAGACAGTTTGTGCCGTAATATGGTAAATGCGAGTGGTTTTGTAACATAATATAAATTAAATAGTGGTGTTCTAGATTGAAACCAAAGAGGTTCAGTTCTGCACTGAGGAGTGGCCCAGCGCCGGATCTCGGCAACAGTTCGGGGCATTCAGCTTCACTCTGGTTTACGCTATACCAGGTGAGAGAATTATTTCTAAATATTTATTAAATGTTCTTATATAATAAGTTATATATTTTGCATTGTACGACCTATTTCTAATTCAATTCCGCAACTTCGAAGGTTTAAATACCAGTGTTCGTCCATTGTTTTGAAGACTTATTGCCTAGTACTGAGCGAACTGACAAGTTAAATTGCTTTTGTTGGAGTTCGAACCGCAGCGGCCGGTGCCGGGCGAATGTTACTTGCAATAACATGATATTTAATTGGAATCCTCTCTTTTGAAATTATAATACTTATACGCAGAAATGCATGTTTCGACTTGTGCACTTACAAAAACATATTACACTTGACATGTGGCCTTAGTTTGTAATTAATTGTTTTTAATGCAGGCTGCATAACAATTATATCATACGCATGTATGGGGCGGACTTTGTGCTCGGTGCGGCCGCCATTCGATATTGACGAGGGCAATATCAGTATGCAACAGGTAATATAACACTACACTTCTATAGTTAATAGATGTCTCAATTGTCTCACGTTACGTAATATGTTCCAATCATGGCAGTATAATGGTAATAACCGATAGTCGACTAAGCAGAGTTAGAATGCAAAAGGTCAGTGAATTTTTAAACTCCACGGACGAAGTATGTTCCTCTTCATCCGGCCGAAACAATTCCATCAATTGAAATACATATTGACTATAGTTGTTTTACGATTTAAGTGAACTGTTGCTATTTTTGGGAATTAATCATAATTTTCGTTTCATACTCGCTCCCCATAAACTCAAATAGCTAAACGATTAATTCTGATTACGCATTCTATTCACGGTTTTGCGAGTTTTAACAAAGTGAAAAGACAGGATGAAACTTTGCGCCTAAATTCTAATAAAAAATGTATGCCTTTGTTCCGTTGATGTCAATATTGTCAACACTTTAAAGGAAATTTCTTAAATTAATAAAAAAAAGGTTTAAATTTTATTTGACTTTAAGATAAAATTGGTGCCTTAATTTTATTTATCTCAGAGTTCATCCGTAGGAAACGCGATTCTTCTTAACTCGATCGACAAAACACTGTTACTACGAGGGGAAGTTTTGCCATAATAATAACGCCAGGTGAAAAGGGATTCATTAGCGATAATTCTTTTCTTATTTACTCAACATATGGAAGCAGATAAATTATATAAAGAAAGTAATATATTTTCATCTTTGTTATTTCATTTAATCCCTGTAATATGAAGTTAGTCACGGAGTAGTCAAAGGATTAGAAATGATTTTGAAGTAAACGCCCGCGTGTATTGAATTATAAATAATTAAAGAATTGCAGTAACAAGGCTATGATTATTATGTATATATCTTTCAATAACAGACGTAAAATATACCTACATAAATTGTCTCATTTAGTACTTAGAATATAACACGCTAGAATTATCTTCTAGTAAGGGCTAATTTCACCAAACTCAGATAAGTTTTATTCCAAGGAATTAACCCTGGAATAGCAAATTTTACATTTCACCAACTACATAACCTGAGAATAAAACGTTATTCCAAGGATAAGATTTATACGCCCAATTTTGAACGAATACGGAGATATTCCTTGGTTAAAAATGGCCGCCATGTCATGTCAGCTGTCAGGATTCATAGAACACAGACATTTTGTTTGATCCCGAGTTTGTTGTGGTTGTTCCCTCAGAGTTGTTCCTGTTTTCATTCCTTGATCTAATTAGAAACTATGCTGTAAGGCGTCCAAGATGGATAAAATAAAGAAATGATCATTTCAACAACTACGACGATGAAGACTTCAGGATAAGATTTCGGTTATCCAAGGTCGCAACATATAATTTATTGGTGAAAATTGAAAACCGTTTAGAATTCATATCAGAGAGGTAAGTTTCTGTAAAATAAACAACAATTTGCATCAAATATTTGATAGGTTCCTAACCTAACTATCTATTTTTAAGGTATTGCTATGGATTTATCTGTGTTTATGTAGAATTGACCGCCGCGTGCGTCACAGTCACGTCGTACTCCGCTATAATAAATCATTAAAAAATACAACAAACGAATATTCGCGAATTCGGAGTATAAAAAACTATAAAGTAGTGCTTATAGTATCAGTGCAAGTGATTGTGAAGGATTTATTAGACTAATTTCCGATATAAACCTAGTAAAACATACAAACATTTCAAAAGTGTAGCTATGTTTAAAACCTGTAAATAGCATTAAAACGATTAAGTAGTGCAATCCTGAAGAAAACTTTTAATAGTTCAAATATCGGATCGGTAATAAAGTGATAAACTGACTGTCTAAAAGAACAAAAATTCGTTATCGCTTTAAAGTGAAAGTGCCGTCAACAAGTGATTCATTATTCGAACAAAGAAGACAATGACTCATACCGGATCGATCTAACGAAACGGAGAATACGTACAGAGTATTCGCGAGTTACGACATGTGCACAGTTGCGCACTGAACAGAACGCTGCATGAAAAAGTTTGTAACCAAGTTACCGTACGATCAAATCTCAGGGCGGCCATATTATTTCTTATGATTTTGATATTTTTTTTCTCCTCTGTCTGGTACCAACATTGCAATTACTATAGCTCCGCAAAACATTTTTACAGAAGGAAAGAAATAAAAAGTAAAAAACAAATTTGATAGACAATCTTCACATTAACATTACACCCTTATCAAAAACAAGTGTGACTGTGTGGCACTAAAACCTAATCATCGCGTTATCCTCTGGCTTTTCACAGAGGACTGTAGGAAAAAATAAAATTGGCAAAACATATAGTTAATTGCGCTTTATTATACACAAAATTATGGAAGACCAATTTCAATTACTGTTCGACAAAATGAAGTTGGAATTGCAGAACCAAACAACCCAACTAACGAACACAATACTTGATAAAATGGAGGAAAAACTAAGACCTGTCCTCGAAGAAAACCAAATATTGAAAAGTAAAGTAGAAAAGCTGGAAAAGAAAATAGAGCATCTAGAAAGAGATAAGAGAAGCAATAATATAATAATCCACGGTTTGGCGGAAAGTGGGCAGTCAACGTTGGATTTAATCGAGTGCATTAAAAAATGTCTATTGGATGAACTAGGTATAACCTTAGAAAATTATGAAATAAATAAAATCTACCGTATTGGCATAAAAAATAATAATGGAAAACCTAGGCCTACCCTCCTTTCTTTAGTTAGCGGATTGAAAAGAGCAGAAATTATCAGGAACAAAAAGAAATTAAAGGAATTATATATAACAGAAGACTACTCAAAAGAAACCTTGGAAATACGGAAGTCCTTGCAACCCAAACTAATGGAAGAAAGGCAGAAAGGAAACATAGCGTTCATAAAGTATGATAAACTTATTGTCAAAGGGAATTCAAGGGCCATAGACAAGAGGAAGAGAGTTAAATCAAACTCTCCGCAAGCAGAATTATTACAACCAAGAAAACAGAAAACACTAATCTCGTCTAGAAATAACAGAATAAATGCATTCGACGTGATGAGAGGCCGATCTCACGAGCATTCAACACTCCCAACAAAAACTCAGCAATAGCAATTATTGTATACCGGCGGTCAGAAACAAAAGAAACAAAAGTAACAAAAGTATAATAAACACACTCCCCCAACTATTCTTCCAACCCGGCTGGTCACCGTGGAAGACTATGACCAAAACCCTCCAAGGACATCATCATCATACCACACAAAACAAGCAATGAAAAAAAAAAAAAAGAGGCAGACCCTACGCTCGATGGGATGATGACATCAAAAAAATCGCGGGTCCTCACTGGGTCCAAATAGCTCGGGATAGAGAAAGATGGCAAGCCTTGGAGGAGGCCTTTACCGGAGAGGGTTCCTGATACTTACTAACTGTAAAAATTATTCACTAACACATGAGATAACTTGATATATTTGTATTAGGAAATTAAGATAAGGCTTAAAATAAATAAATAAATAATGTAGCTAATTAAGCCTTTTTTTTTGTTTACAGGAATCAATCAGTTTCTCCAGTCAACCAGCTTTTGAATTCATTGGATATTTTAATCCACTCAGCATTTTTTTCTTTCATGGTTACTGCGTCGGTACGCTTGTTTTCCACTATCTTAAAATGGTCAGTTATCAGATCTACCAGTAACATCTTCTCTGGCATTTGCCAGTTAGGACTTCTTTTTCTATCGGTCATTATCATGAACGATATTGTTTCTGTTATTTATTTTCTTCTTTCAAATCAAAACCAAAATAAACACTCAGGCAAAACAAAGCTTCTATGACCTGACCACAGATTACAAAGTAGGTTCCATGACAGCTTCAAACTGACGTATAATCCAACTAAAGAAAAAAGTTCCATTTAACCTTCATGTTCTTTAAAGAAATTGCACATTTAATTTGTTTTCATTATACACTCATTTGTTCGTTCACTCAATATACACTTCCACAGATAAGCAAAACGGCTATTCCAAAGAATAGCTAATCTGAGACTAGTTTATCGGATGTTTTACATGGTGAAATGTAAAGTGAGTTATCTGGGATTAAATTCAAGCGAATATGTTTATCCTTGGTATAGCTATTCTCGGATAACTACGACATTGGTGAAATCAGCCCTAACTTAGTGATTCAAACTGTGATAATATACCAATCGACATTTCATAATAATTACATATTATAATATACAAAAAGTGTTTTAATAGGATGTCTTTACAAAATTCAAAAATACCTTTTCATTTTTATAAATACTAAACGCGCTAAATGCGCAATGCGACATTTTAAACATTTTAATTCCGTTTTACACGCATGAAACGAATGGGGTTGAAAACATAAATTCTGCTTTAATGTCCTTCAATTTCTAAAAATTGCAAAAACGAAGAAACAACGACTTTTCAAATTATAGCTCATTTTGCGTAGAATTAGGACAGAAGGTATTTTGTTGCGTTGCACCAACGTCATAATAGGAGAGTAACAGCTGAATGGAATAAGGTTAATTATGTTCAGGGGCTGAGGCTAGTTCGTGAGCGCAAGCGAGTGGCGTGGATCCTGTTGTTGTTGGCTGTGTTGTTCGCCGTGTGCTGGCTGCCTTACAACATACTGCAGCTGCTGCTGGACGTCAACCTGCTTTCCACCGCCGACCTGAGCTTTTATCTGCCCTATGCGCTTTTTATAGGTCTGTCTACCAAGGTATTCGTTGCGAAGATACATTCACTTGCAGATCAATTGTAATGTAACCTTTTAACCTTCCGACTCCCAGAACCAACAATGGGTTCCGTGAACCTCTTCACAGGATGTGTTCCACCTTGGATTCTGCCACTAACATTGACCCTTTTTCGCACTCCTCTACTGCTTCATTTAAGAATAAGTTCAAACTCTTAATGCCTTAAGCCTTGTATCTTCCTTGTTTTTTTAGCTGCTAGTTTGTTTGTCATTCTCCTAATTTATAAATTTTGTGCTGTTATGTTTTGTCTTGTTTTACTTTGTATTATATTTTTTATCAGTGAAACTTTTGTGGATATGTCCAATGTGTTTATTTTATGTTTTACTTTTATTTTAATTTTACTGTATAGAGATGTATCTGTTTAGTTTTGTTGGCGACTCATAAATATAAATATAATGTAAATAGTATTAAGTATGAGCTATAGGTTAAATATGAATATTGTTGGCAGCTAGTTAGTAGTAATTAAGTATGAGCTATAAGTAAAATAAGAATATTGTTGGTAGCTCATAAGTAGAAATTAAGTATAAATAAGTTAGATAAAAATATGTAAATAATTTAAGGGAAAAATATAGTTAAATAAATTAATAAAATGCTTCGCCGAATAAAAGGGTCGCGTAGCTCTCGTCGCGGTATACGCGCGCAGATGTCTGTAAGCGCAGCTCTCGTCGCGGTATACTGTCGGAGTACTTAAGCTCGGCGAGATTTACGCAAAATCCTCTTTTTCCTCCGCAACGAACTGGGACCCAAGAATAATCGGCGAAGCAAGAAACAAGAACAAGGCGCAGTTTCATTTCAAGACAACATCCTACAATTACGCACTAGCAGGGGTGCGTGGGTCGAGGCGGTGCCAGCGATACGTCGAACCGTCTTGACAAAACGTACGTAGTCAAACCCCACCGGTATTCAAAGCCGCGCCGAGGTTACTTTGGTTACTGCACGGGTGTTCTCAAACGAACATCTAAACGTCTAATCCCGTGCAGGCCCGAGTCTCTGAGGCGACGTCGGGATTGGCTACAATAGTAGTACGTACGAAGTCAAACCCCACCGGTATTCAAAGCCGCGCCGAGGTTACTTTGGTTACTGCACGGGTGTTCTCAAACGAACAACTAAACGTCTAATCCCGTGCAGGCCCGAGTCTCTGAGGCGACGTCGGGATTGGCTAGAACAGTAGTACGTACGAAGTCAAACCCCACCGGTATTCAAAGCCGCACCGAGGTACTTTGGTTACTGCACGGGTGTTCTCAAACGAACATCTAAACGTATAATCCTGTGCAGGCCTGAGTCTCTGAGGTGTCGCGGGGGTTGGCATCAACAGTGGTCCTTCGAGCGCCGGATCCTGCAACGGTTGTCATCAAGAAGTGAATACTGCGACAAGAAAATGCCAGTCACAAGGTCACAGAACGGGATGCAGCGAGGGGAATCGACGAGGACTGTTACCTCCGCCACTACGTCCGAAGTCCGGACCACAGGCGAAGAGATAACGATAGAGCAGTCCACGTCGACGAGTGCAGCCAGCCAGCCAGATCAAGCATTGACTCTGGCACCAGTGGGTTCCACCCGGCGGGCCGCATCGAGAGCCGTATCCAGAGCCAGCTCAAGAAGACAAGCCGAGGCCAGAGAAGAGCTGGCTCGCTGCGAGCTGCGGGAAGCGCAGGCAGCAGCACGACTGGCCAGATTACGATTAGAAGCAGAAACGGAAGAGGAAGACTCCTTTATAGAAGACGTCAACGATAACCATGAAGAAAAGGTGGCAAACTGGATGCGCTCATCGGCACAAACGCCAGAAGAAATAGAAACAAAGAGCGACATTCGAGCAATAGCTGACGCAATAAAGGAAGCCATGACGACACATGTAGCGCCGCAACCGAAGTACATTCAAGAGCTGCCGATATTTGAAGGCGACAGCTCCGAATGGACGGCGTTCCGAGTCGTATATGAAGACACATCTCCGATGTTCTCTGGCATTCAGAATATGGCGCGGCTACGTAAAGCGATTAAAGGCACAGCGAGAGAAAGCATTAAGAGCCTCTTGTACTCAGAGGCGATGCCAGAAGAAGTTATTAACGCTTTACGCCGAAGATTTGGTAGACCCGACGCGCTGGTGCTAGCTGAACTGGAGAAATTAAAGGCGCTTCCCAGAACGACGGAAAATCCCAGGGACATATGCGTCTTCGCTAGCCAAATAAATAACAGCGTGGCCGCCATAAAGGGATTGAAGAGACTGCAATACCTCTACTCACCTGAAATCGTGAAACTTATAATAGAGAAGATGCCTCCAATTCTCAGATTCAGATGGTACGATTTCACGGCTGCGAGGGAAGAGGAATCGTTCTCCGATATTCAAACGATAAGCAACTTCCTCAATTTAGAAGCGGACAAATGCGGCGCATTCGCGGTACTCGAAGACAGCAAAAGCGTACGACCGAGCGCAGCGATAAGAAGGCCAGTGAAGCAAGCTACGTATAATATCGCTGAAAGGAGTAGACCTGAAGAAATCAAGTGCCCAGACTGTGAAGGTACACATAAACTGAAAGACTGCCAAAGATTCCTAAAGGCGGCAGTCAACGAGAGATGGGAAACAGTTAAAAGGCTTAAGGTCTGCTTCAAGTGCCTCGCTGGGAAGCACCGGAAAGAAACATGCCGAAGACCACCGTGCAAGTTGTGTCGAAGATGGCACCATAGCCTACTACATGTGACGTCGGAGAGCGAACAATGTCACGAAGAGGCAGCGCCCGAGACAGCAACGGTCAATACAATAAGCACACCGAAAGCTATTCTTAAGATGCTCAAGGTGGAGATATACGGACCGGCTGGGAGCAAACAAGTACTGGCGCTGCTAGATGAAGGCTCAACGGTGACACTGCTCGACGAAAACGTGGCTTCGAGCATCGGCATCAAGGGACCTCGCGAAGCCCTGAATATAGAAACTATCGGCGGAGGGCAAATGAAAAATCACGACTCCATGATTTTAGATATCGAACTGAAAGGGATCAAGGAAAGCGAGAAGAGCACACTTAAGCGGGCAAGAACTATCAAGGAGCTCAAATTAACCCCTCAATTCGTAGATAAAAGCCGACTAAAGAAGTGTCATCACTTGCGGGGCTTACTACAAGACGTGTGCTACGAAGCTGAGGCGCCGAAGCTGCTCATTAGCCAAGACAATTGGGAGTACATTGTCTCGTTACAAATACGACGTGGAAAGCCAGGGCAGCCGGTAGCGTCACGAACAAAGTTAGGATGGGTTCTCCACGGCTCCGACAGCAGCGGCGTGTCTCCAATCAATTATGTGAACACATGTGCACACGCAAACGTCGTCGAAGACAAAATAGATCAGCTGGTGAGGGAACACTTCACTATTGAGTCTTTGGGGGTTCAGCCGAAGAAGCCTTCAACGGATATCGAACAGCGAGCATTAGACATATTGGAAAGAACCAGCCGACAGTTGGAAGATGGCAGATACGAGGTCGGACTGTTGTGGAAAAAGGAAGATGTATGTCTTCCAAATTATTACGCAGCAGCTTTCAACAGATTTCAAGGCATAGAACACAAGCTGCGTAAGGACGCTAAATTAAAATATGAGTAAAGCGCGCAGATAGACAATCTGTTTAAAAGCAACTACGCTGAAGAAGCACCAGCCGACTGCACATCGAACAAAAAATGGTACCTGCCTCACTTCCCAGTGGTTCACCCTCTGAAAAAGAAGCTGAGAATTGTCTTCGACGCTGCGGCCAAATACAACGGAGTCAGCCTCAACGACGTTCTGCTGTCCGGCCCGGACTTACTACAGTCAATATTTGGAGTGCTACTGCGATTCCGTCAAGGCCCTGTAGCAATAGCGGCCGATATAAAAGAAATGTTTCTGCAAGTGAAAATACGCGAAGAAGATAGAGACAGTCTCAGGTTCCTATGGCGAAAAGACAAGGAAGCGCCAGTGAAGGAATATAGAATGACATCAGTGATATTTGGAGCTGCGTCATCGCCTTGCACCGCTATTTATATAAAAAACAAGAACGCAAAGACCTACTTACATAAATATCCAGAAGCGGCGCAAGCAATAGAGCGGAATCACTATATGGATGACTATTTGCAAAGTTTCCACAGTGTTGACGATTGCAAACGGGTAATGCAGCAAGTCGACTTGATCCACCAGAAGGCGCACTTCGAGCTACGAGGATGGGCTTCGAATAAAAAAGACATCGTAGAAGCCGGCGGTGAACAGGAAGTGCACCTAGGTGAAAACGAAGAAAAGACCCTGGGACTGAGATGGCTGACGTCAGAGGATTGTCTTGGATTTAGAAGCCAATTTAGGAAAATCCCGGACGGGGTAGCGCGAGGCATGCAGACTCCAACAAAACGAGAAGTCACGGGAGCTGTGATGTCCACCTTCGACCCACTCGGACTGCTATCACCCATTCTTATCCAAGGAAAGAAGCTCATCCAAAAGATATGGCGCAGTGGTGTCGGATGGGATGACCAAATCACTGAAGACGACAACGAAGCTTGGAAGAGCTACCTAGAGCATATCGGTAGAATAAAAGACATCCGGCTGCCGCGATGCATGTCACCATTCTGCACTGAGGGGGAGCTGCATACTTTCACTGACGCAAGTGAGACAGCGTATGCAGCCGCAGTATACTGGCGAACCAGAGGTAAAGGAAAATACTTGATAAACCTCGTCGCCGCCAAGTCGCGAGTGACGCCTTTGAAACCAACATCTATGCCGAGGCTTGAACTGCAGGCAGCTCTATTAGGTAGTAGACTTGCAGACTCAGTGGCAAAAGAACTCGACCTTCAAGTTACAAGGAAAACGTTTTGGACGGATTCGAGTGTGGTACTTTCCTGGATAAAGGCAGATCCCCGAACGTTTAAGACCTTCGTAGCTCATAGAATTGCGGAGATAGAGGATCTGACAAAACCGCAAGACTGGAGATGGGTGCCTACAGCGCAGAATCCTGCCGATGATGCGACCAGGAGTCCACCGGAAGAATTTAACGCGGAACATCGGTGGTTCAAGGGTCCAGATTTCCTGTCAAAAGGCGAAGAAGAATGGCCAGCTCCACGAAGTTTTAAAAAGGAAAAATGCGACGAAGACAGAACGACGGAGCAGGTGAATACACTTCGCCGCAGTGAAATTACTCCGGTTTCCGAAAACTTTTCATCGTGGACAAGATTGTGGAGATCGACTGCCAGGGTTCTACAATTCATCGACCTATGTAGAGAAAAGAAGCCGTCGAACCGCGGGCGCTGCAATAAAGGTGCAAAAAAGAGGCGAATTTACCTTCCGATCGGCGAGACACACCTATTACGAGCGCAGGAAGTTCTAATCACCCAATGTCAGCAAAGCAGCTTTGAACAAGACATTAAAAATCTCAAACAAGGGCGCACGACGGAGAATCGAAGCCAATTGAAAAGGCTAGACGTCACTATGAAAGACAATCTCATAAGACTTCAAGGTAGAGCAAGAACCGTAGCGGGCGTGGACAACGACTATTTAACGCCCATAGTACTGGATGGCAGGAGCGCCATTGGGAGATTGATGATTAAACATTATCACGAGAAATACAACCATGGTAATCAAGCCACAGTAATGAACGAAATACGGCAAAAATACTGGATGTTAGGCCTGAGATCAGTGCTGCGTAGTATACAACAAAACTGCCAGCACTGCAAGCTGAAGAAGGGTAAACCAGCGGAGCATCCGGCGGGGAACTTACCTCAAGAAAGGCTGAGACATGGTGAGCCCCCTTTCACGTGCACAGGTGTGGACTACTTCGGTCCAATGCTCGTGGCGATCGGCAGACGAAGAGAGAAGAGATGGGGAGCCTTGTTTACCTGCCTGACCACAAGGGCAGTACATATCGAGATAGTGCCCAGCCTTACGACGGACTCTACCATAATGGCGTTAAGGAGATTCGCTGCTCGAAGAGGAATGCCAAAGATAATTTATTCCGATAATGGAACAAACTTTGTCAAGGCCAGCAAAGAACTCCAAACCGCCATTGAAGAGCTTAAAAGAGAGGAAATCGTCACTGAAGCAGAGAAGGTTGGCACACAGTGGAAATTTATTCCTCCCGGCGCACCAAATATGGGAGGAGCTTGGGAACGATTGGTGCGCTCCATTAAGGTCGCACTGGACGCTACATTAAAGGAGCGCGTTCCACGAGAGGAAGTTCTGCATACGTTGCTGTTGGAAGCAGAACATATGGTTAACTCCAGACCAATAACGAACCTAGCTGACAATTCGGAAGAGGAGGCGCTTACCCCAAATCACTTTCTCATTGGGCGATCCAGTGGAGCTGCACGCGTTGGGCATTTTCCTGATGCAAAGCTGGTGGGCAGAGAAGATTGGAAGACCGTCCAACGACTCTCTGATCACTTTTGGAGGAGATGGCTACGGGAGTACTTGCCCACGCTACTGCCCAGGAAAACGACAGGACGACGGGAAGGCGAGCAGCTACAGCCAGGCGACGTGGTTCTTATCGTAGATCGCACGCTACCACGATGCACTTGGCCGAGGGGAATCATCGAAACCACGTACCCCGGGCCCGACGGAAGAACCAGGATCGTGGACGTCGCAACCAAAGGTGGAGTGTTACGAAGACCATCATCGAGGATCGTCATCTTGGTGCCTGCGAAGTCGCCGTGCAGGAATGACGGTGCTACGCACGAGGGGGAGAATGTTGGCGACTCATAAATATAAATATAATGTAAATAGTATTAAGTATGAGCTATAGGTTAAATATGAATATTGTTGGCAGCTAGTTAGTAGTAATTAAGTATGAGCTATAAGTAAAATAAGAATATTGTTGGTAGCTCATAAGTAGAAATTAAGTATAAATAAGTTAGATAAAAATATGTAAATAATTTAAGGGAAAAATATAGTTAAATAAATTAATAAAATGCTTCGCCGAATAAAAGGGTCGCGTAGCTCTCGTCGCGGTATACGCGCGCAGATGTCTGTAAGCGCAGCTCTCGTCGCGGTATACTGTCGGAGTACTTAAGCTCGGCGAGATTTACGCAAAATCCTCTTTTTCCTCCGCAACGAACTGGGACCCAAGAATAATCGGCGAAGCAAGAAACAAGAACAAGGCGCAGTTTCATTTCAAGACAACATCCTACAATTACGCACTAGCAGGGGGTGCGTGGGTCGAGGCGGTGCCAGCGATACGTCGAACCGTCTTGACAAAACGTACGTAGTCAAACCCCACCGGTATTCAAAGCCGCGCCGAGGTTACTTTGGTTACTGCACGGGTGTTCTCAAACGAACATCTAAACGTCTAATCCCGTGCAGGCCCGAGTCTCTGAGGCGACGTCGGGATTGGCTACAATAGTAGTACGTACGAAGTCAAACCCCACCGGTATTCAAAGCCGCGCCGAGGTTACTTTGGTTACTGCACGGGAGTTCTCAAACGAACAACTAAACGTCTAATCCCGTGCAGGCCCGAGTCTCTGAGGCGACGTCGGGATTGGCTAGAACAGTAGTACGTACGAAGTCAAACCCCACCGGTATTCAAAGCCGCACCGAGGTACTTTGGTTACTGCACGGGTGTTCTCAAACGAACATCTAAACGTATAATCCTGTGCAGGCCTGAGTCTCTGAGGTGTCGTGGGGGTTGGCATCAACAAGTTTCCTTAATAAATAAATAAATAAACAAAATATTAATTCGTAAATTGCGGAAAATTGAAACTCTCAGAACCAAGAAGGTATTATTAATTGAATGTGTTGAACCGGTAAAGGAGTATTGAAACAGTAAATTTCATTTAGATACAAAGCTGTTGTATTGCCTTGAATTTGTTTACATCAGCTACCCTCGTCACGCCAGCCTGGACCGGGAATGCGTTATTACGAGGCCCACGACAACAACGAGGCGGATATTTAACCATTCACCATTGTGTCGGTCTCATTCGGTCTAAACGCATAATCTATTTCAAATGGGTTTGTCCTTCGCAACAATATCCAGTTTATTTGGTATAAATAAAAGTAACGGACCCTACGAAGCAAATGATTTTTGGATAACAACATTTAAGTATATTTTCAAGAAAATAATTTTGTTCTTTAATTTTTTCCAGAAGGATTGGCAGTCTGTTATTTAAAATGCATTTAAGGTCTTAGAATAGCGCACTATAACAATCTCGGTCACGACTAAAAGCCGATAAGAAAGGCTCGTAAGTAACAATTAGCTTATCAGTGGCTCTAGACATGTTTCATTGCGGCAGGTCACGCGAATTCTGCCATAAACCCGATCGTCTACTGTCTGATGACTCGCAATTTCCAGCGCTCTCTGCGCAAGCTTCTTTGCTCGCGAGGGGTCTGCCAACAAACCAAATTCACGGTGAGCTGAAATATATTTAGGTGAATGTTGGGATTTTGGGAAGGAAATTGATTTTACTTTGTAATTTATCCTACCACAACATTTTAGCGATAGTTCCTATTCCTGCCCGGATAAACCAAATTAAATTAATGCATGACAAATATTGATTTGAAATTGAAATCAAACACTCGTCACTTGTTGTAATGTGGCTGGTTCAATTCACCAAATACAAGAATATTGTACACGTACATTACAGTACGTAGAGTACAATATTTATTTTTGTTTATTTATTTAAAATTCATAAAGCAAATATCAAACATATGAATATTGCCGGTATCCCATGTCTTAACGAAGCATTTGTCAAGATTTTCAAGAATTCTGATTACGAGTACGTTTTACAGGGGTCTGTCATTTAATTAACCATACATATAGATGCATTGAATACCAATTGATGTGAATATAACCACTCTCTCAGGACAGCAACGAACATTTTCCAACGTATATTACTCGAAGCAGTCAACATTTTTCGCGTCGGTTCAATAATAAAAAATAGTGTATTATCAGGTATCACTGAATGATTATATGATAAGGAAGTAAGATTATGGAAAATGTTGCAGTGGCGGTGCACGCAAAAACCGGATGGGTCTTCCAGCGATTACGAACTTTACCACGAACCTCACAAAAGGTGTTACTTACAGGTATATTCATATTCAGAAATATCTGGGAATACATTTAATATTTTAAAAATGCAATAATCATCAACTAACACATGTGTGAAATGTAAAAACCTCACGTCAATTGTTTTGAACCACTTTCTTTTCTTTGAGAAAAACGTCAGGGAAAATTTTATAACTAAGTTTATTTTATTAATTCAATTTAGTTACGAGTCATTGAAGTAGAGGTTAATGAAGGTCGATGAACTGGAAGATACGAGCCTAGTGCTTAAATATACGACAAAGAACCATGAGAATAATAATGAATAATGATATGGAATCAGAATAAAATAAAATAAATAAATGAGGTCGTGTGTTCGAATACTGGCTGTGTACCGGGTAATTTTTGACATAGAATCTTACTTAAAGCTCACAAAATTATCAAAGCATAACATAGAAATTCCATGCCCATGAGGGTTGCATTAAAGCGAACAATAAGAGCTTATTTAAACACAAATAGCTTGCTTGCAGATGAAATCTTTGCGTTATGGCTGCGGAGGAGCTGGTGTCGGGGCAGGAGGAGGGGGAGTGGTGGTATCCAGGGCGGGGGATGTTGGGAACACGCGCGCTCAGACGCAGCTTAGTCACGTGACGCGATCGTCGCGTCGCACGGCTCCTGCGCATACCCTCTCCGTGGAGATGCTGCAACGACATGGACCTGTAGACCTCAAATAAAACCCACGATATTTAAACAACTCTGGGTTGCTGTTGACATTCAACATTAATGCTATCGTTTTTTAAATAAGATATGATTTAATTTAAAAGACTATAAGTGTCGTAATGATTGAATATTCTTGTTTTCACTGATTTTTGGTAAACGTTACAGTAATGAATTTCATTCTCAGGGTAATATAGAGATAGCTATAACACGATAGCTTATATTAGGCAACACCAATTGATATTTGATTTTGGTAAGCCGGAATTAGGTAATGTATGATCATTTAAAACTGTACAAATATTGTAAATAAACATGTAAATTTTATATTTATCAATAAATTCTTACATTTTAAGTAATCTTTTAAGTTTAATTTAAATAATTAACTTCCTATTCCTCAGTATATTCTTGTGTACTTGGCCACCATGTGCCAAAGCTCAGTCGGTGTTTTCCATAGAACCTTGTCGGCTAGTACTTATGAATATCTTGAAATAGAAACAAATAACATACATATACATATACAATTCTTGCTCATGTTGTATGTATTATTAAATAAAACGCCTTTAACGGATAAAGCTAAAGATAAAAATTTATTGTATGTGTATCCTTAACGTTAATTTGCGTAAATAAGGTATAACAATTAAAATATTATAATATATCATTCACTTTTATAGCCAAAGCAGGTTATTGCCTGATTGAAGACAAATTTTTGTTTACGCATTTGCGTAACAAACAAACATCTTTAACGAAAAGATTTCTTGTCACATTTTGTTAAGTCTTAGGTACACTATTAACTGTTACCTTTTCGAAACAAAGTTGTTGCTTTCAACATCAATTAAAGATATAATAGAAGGTAATTAAAAGTATACTATGTATACAGCGTGTTAATCAATGTATAATTATCTAATTTGATGATATGAGTACGATGTCGCAATAATTTTGCCTTGAAACCCGAAGTCCTAACGGGCGAAGCCGCAAGCCGAGACCGGTATCTGAGCTTTATTGGTAAACACACTACACACACTTTATTACTTCTATTATGTACGTTTTAAAACTTATTGTTCAATTAAACAGATTTGCATGAATAATAAACTATAGTATTTAGCGTTAAGAAGACGACTTCAATTAAAGTAAGAAGCGACGCTCCAAAGCTGAGTGAGAAGATGCCCCCATAAGTAGCTGAAATTGATAATAATGATTATTGAAGTGAAACTTCTTTATCGAGGTTGGAAAAAAATTTAGTGTAACATTTTTTCGTTACGCGTCACAGTTTTCGGTTACGCGTCACATTTATCGGTTACGCGCCATGTTGCTTTTTGAAGTCAAACTTCTTTATCGGCGTTGGATTGAACCTTCTTTATCGACGTATGGGAGATATTTTGTAGCAAATCGTCACGTTTTTCAATAATAGTAATAATTCTATTACAATTAATGAAATTCTATAATAATCTTCGTAGTAATAAGGTAAAATGAAATATTTGTATTCATGTCTATGATAATAAAAGCCTTTTGTTAAACTTTATCTAATTTAACGAATTTCTGTAAAGTTGCATATAGTAGATCATTTTTCGAAAATAAGATCATAAAGAAGTTTCACTTCTTACGTGTGTACACCTAGTACACGCACAATTTATTTATTTCGGTATGGCACTCAACAGTTGAAGTAGGACATGAAGATTGATAAGCTCCAAATTTACTTTTTTCTTTATTGGTGGATAGATCTTATTATGATTTTTTAAAGTTCTCTCACCTACAACCCCCGATGGCTTTAGTCTTTAATGCTAGTACCAGAGGACGTTGAGATGTGTAATTTTGATTTATATGTAATAAGTGCCAAGAGTATGTATGTATCAGCAATCTGCACTAGATTACTAAATATGGGAGGGTGAGAACTAAGAACCTAACCACCCAACGGATCCCTAAGTCCAACAGATGTAACTTTCTTGATGGTAGCCCGGGATGCTAAATTTGTAAGGCATATGAAACTTATGATATTAAATTCACATTTTTTAAAACACGCATAAATGACGTCATGGCTATGACTGCAGACGGTAGTGTGGGGACGGTGCGAGAGAGTGAGAGCAAGAAGAAAAGACAGGACTTCCTTTAAAATAAAAAGAAATTCAATCGCGATCGAGTTTTTCGAGGTGACGTTCTTTCTACAACTTTCTGAATCGCCCATTTCCTTATCTCACTCTCAAATTGTCAGATTATTGAAATATTTTCTGCATGGACTTAACTTACTTTAAACTGACACTCTCGAGGTTTTCTGGGGATTGTATTTATTACTAATTTGCCACACACGTGGCATTTTAAATTAAAATTGACACACACGTGATATATGATATTGATTGCGGATCGAAAGCGGAAGTACCCTCACTCATTACTGTACTAAACCTTTGTGCAATCGAGCGTTTTTAGTAACATTTACCAATTGATAAAGAACACGATTATGCGTCTGTGTAAATCTTAAAGCGTAAATGTTTTATAGAGAGTATGTGAGTAGATGTAAAGGAATGGTCCAGTGACAAGGGTGTTGCGTGGCAAACAATTTAATAAACAGCTGTGCTTTAATACCAGCGTAGACGTAGCGCGTAGACGCCTAAGACACAAGTGGCGATTTGTTGTACTCCTTGATTACAGTTTAAATTAAGGTACAAACTCATAAAATAATTGTTTACATAAGACAATATAGAACCGACCGTAATCTAACCTAAACGATGACGACACTTCGTCCCTCTTTAAAAAGATGAATTTTTAAAAATCTAGCGACCGAGCTATCTATATTGTATGTTCCACACCGACGAAAAGATAATACCTGAATAAGGGGAGTAATTATCGAACAATGAATATTACTAAACTGCGCATTATGTTGACTCACCAATAAAAGAAGTGAAGTCCATGAGTAACATCTGCTTATAGCAGTTGCAGGTGGGTCTGTTGAAGTACACCTGCAGGGCTGATAACTCACTTGCGTTTCTATTATTCCTAAAGTTAGGTACAAATTTATTTTTCAAAAACTTAATTAATCTTTAGATTTCTTTTATCTATGCCCTTGTCATAGTTCGAACTCCTATATTACGCTTCATAAATATGAATTTAAATAACCATACAACTTGTATGGTTAACTTTTAAGCCCAAATGACCTTTAAGCAATGTTTATTGTTATGTTGGTAACGTCAATGTATATATTAATATGCTTAACCACATAAATGTTTAACTTTTATTGAATTAAAGAAGCCCGAAGAAGAAGAAGAAGTGAATGATGCCCAAAATTATTTATTAAAGTTTACTTACATAACCTCGTCAGGGTACAAGTCTGCAACGAGTGGCATAATGTCACTAGTCACGCGGTAATGCTTGTCTCTGCACTCCAGGTAGCAGAGCGGGTCACAACGTTCCCCAGACAACTTCTTCGCTGAATATGATAAAAGTGATAAATATTCGATCGACATATTTAATGAAAATCGGTTCCCATCTTTATAAGATACTAGCTGTTCCCAGCCACGCTTCGCTGTGGCACATTGTGGTTGAATGGTTGAGAAATGAGAAAAAACCAAACAAAAATTTCATATATGTTTAATTTAGCAATACTTGTGGAAAAATTAATGAAAAAATAAAAAACTAAAATAATGTTAAAAAATAAATAAAAACAATACTCGCTGCGTATTATATATCATACTAAAATTTCAGCTCGATAGGTGCAGAACTTTTTGAGTTTTTGAAGCGTACACAAACCAACATAACATTTATATATATATATATATAGATGTGTATTGTCCAATTGATAAAATATCTTACAGTGATATATAGGTACGTAGTTTCGCAATGGTTGCACGTTTCACGTGTTTAATAGAAAAATGTCTTGGAATTGTTCGTGTATGTAAATATTTGATACATTTCTCTTTGACACAGAAATTAACGTTGTATACGTAGCAAGAGATGGACTACTTAATAACTTACTTAATACAAAAAATGATAGTAAAAACGATTGACCCGTTTTAACGTACACATAAACATGATTGTAAAATCTAAATGTATGATACCTCTGAGGTTGTTCAAGCACCTTAAGTCTTTGAACTCGCAGATTCTAGTCGTTGCCTCTGTAACACATTTCGTAATTTTGAACACGCGTATTGTTTTTACATGCGAATTAATTAATTTAATGCTTGGACTTTTGTAAGATTTGATCAATTATTATACTTAGTTCTAACCTTGCGGGTACTTATACGGCACACAGCCACAATACGTCAAATAGCTTCTCATTTTACATTCTGTTGCGCAAGTCTCCGAAGAATACCTATGTCAAAGTAGAAGAGTATTCAATTATTATTATATTTGTCTATTAATCTATTTTCGCTTTTAACCACGTCCAAAAAGAAAGAGTCTACATCTATTTAGTTTTGTTTAACCTTTAAAATTCATCAAATTCAATGAAAATCACGTTTACCTGTCCGTATGTTTGAGCTCGATTTCGTCGTGGAAAGCACAGCCACGATACGCTTTGGGAATGCTGCGGAGGGAGTCTTCGGCTTCAAACACACAAGGCTGCACCTTGATGTCTAGGGATATCTCCGTGTAAACCCGTTTGTAGATCAATGAATACTCTGGATAGTCGTTTGGGTCATTTATGAGGACCTAAAAAGCACCAGATAAATATTTGTATCAGCATATTTAGTAAAAAAATCGAATGAAAGACTTTAAAAACATTACCTTCGCACCATATGATGAACTGAGCGCCCAAGGTGGGTAATCACTAGGCTCTACGGTGAATACTACGAGCAGACCGGAACCTCTGTAGAATAATTAGGCTTTAAAGAATAGAATACTCAAGTACTTCAATGACACGCAATAATATCTCACACCTGCCTGACTCCGCCGTAATTATGATCTCAGAATGTTGGTGGTCCGATTCCGTATCCTCATAATGTTCATGATCCATATCAGGAAGGACCCTTTGATGGAATTATCAGCATTAACTTTAACGCTTTACACGTAAGATACAGATTGTTTTAAAATTATGTGCATTAAATCATAATATAGGCAGGGTTTTTTGGTTTTACTATGCTGAAACCAGCATATACATTTATTTATAAGGTACCATGCTATAGGTATTTAGATAAATATAAATTAACGATGTTAATTAATTAGTAAAAATTATTATTATTTTACATAATTATTCAGAATGTGTAAAAATATGGTGAACACAATAGTGACTAAAACCAAAACAAAATACACTACAATGCAGGGGACGGGAGAAAAATTATGAAATTTTATTCAAGTGGGATTCATTTAATGTGGTCTGCTGACCACATACTTTTTTGTTGATTTTATACAATTAATTTCAAATATGAACTTATTTGTCGATTTGTCCGACCGTATGATACAACGAACGAGTGTCCGTAAATGAAAACATAATAATTTGTTATTATTTGTTTTTTTAGTTCACGGGACATAGTGTTTAGAGAATACTTTAAAAATTGTACAAGCTGTCTTGTCGTTAATATTAATTAACCTTAATTTCTAACAAGGTATTTTTATAACAGCATCTTTAATATCATAAAAATAATTGTTTTTTGCACAGAATCAACTAAATTTTCAAATATTAATATAGGTCGCCAGTAAAATAATAAAAAAGATGTACTCATCAATACTGTCATCGTTTAGAGCGAAGTAGTTGAATGTGCAGCAGTGGCCTTCAAAAGTTTTTACTAAACGAAACATGTCTGTGCAACTCGCTGGCTTTCTGTTAAAACTGCAGTACAGCAGCAGGTCTTCACACCTCTGATGCACCTGAGTATTATGTAAGGCGTAGGTATAATTATATACTGCTCAAAACAATTAGCGGAACAAGATTTTTCTCCTTTCTATTGCTTAAACTAAAATTAGATTTAAATTAACTTGTACGCTATTTTTTACCTTGTTAATTTGTTAGTTACTACAATTAATAAAAAAATTTAATTTATATTTTTTTTATTAAAAAAAATTAAAATGTGCATTGTAGACGAAAAACTAATTGGTGATAAAAAAGGTCCATCAAAGAAATATTCTTATATCGTTTGAATATTCGTCTTTAGTGACTTTCAGTAACGTGTGTGGCCTCCATGAGCCCTAATCACGGCTTGACAACGACGCGGCATGCTTCGTATGATCCTCCGAATATCTTCTCGTGGAATTCGCTCCCATTCTTCAATCAACGCTTCAGTGAGCTGCTGCAGTGTTTGAGGTGCAATCGGACGCTTCCGGATGCGCCTGTCAAGCAAGTCCCAAATGTGTTCAATTGGATTTAGGTCAGGGCTTATGGAAGGCCACTCCATTACACGGATTTCCTGCTGTCGTAAGTAATCTGACGTGATGGCTGCAGTATGCGGCCTGGCATTATCTTGCATTAAAAGAAAATCTGGGCCCATACCATATGCTGCGGGCCAAACATGATCTTCGAGCACATTTTCAATGTAAGTTTGAGCACACAAGCGCCCGGGAACAACGACGAGATCTGTGCGCTCGTCCAAACTAACTCCGCCCCAAACCATCACAGAGCCACATCCAAATTTGTCATATTCCTGGACTGCTGCTGCACTGTATCGCTCGCCTGGGCGTCTGTAAACACGAAGACGACCATCGCAACGTGTTAGACGGAATCGTGATTCGTCAGTAAAAAGCACTGGCCTCCAATGTCGACGTTGCCAATTAGCGTGATTTTGCGCGAACTGTCGGCGAGCTTGTCTATGTTGAATTGTTAGACGCACAGCCCGAACTGGTCGGCGTGATCTCAAATTGGCTTCCAACAACCTATTTCTTACCGTCTGGTCGGAAATTTCTACACCAGTAGCCGTCCTTAGTGTATTTTGTAGATCTCTTGCAGTTGTGGTGCGGTTACGTAAAGCACAGTTGACGATGTAGCGATCTTGCAAACGTGTAGTTTTTCTCTTTCGACCTTGACCACGCCTCACGGTATCGCTTCCAAAGTCTGTAGATAACAGAAGGGGCTACTCCTAGATCATTTCCTACATAACGCATAGTTCGACCCTCTTCAAGCAAAGCGATAGCTCGGGAGACATGGAATTCAGTCAGATCTGGCATTATGACCTAAACTCACTCGCTTCAATGAATAACAATACTCAAAAGGCTCACTTCAATTTCTATTAATACTCAAAAGATTGAAAAAAACTACTTAAAATGTGTTTTCTGAGATTAGAAAGTAATGAAAATTCAAAGACGTCATTTTGTTTTTAGGTGTTTCTAGACACACTGCCACTGTATTATAGGACTACTAACCAAAACGCCGATGCTCTTTTGTTTTTTATTTTCTTCGACAATGCCTTGACATTATCTAGTGGCCAGTAATAATTAAAACCTTAAGTAAAAAGTTTAGTTCTACTTTAAAGTTTTGTTCCCGTAATTGTTTTGAGCAGTATATTACCCAGAAATGCAAATTCACAGTCATGGAGAAGAAAAAAAAATTAAATGAATTTTGTGTCTAATTCATTGATTTTCCGTAGGAAATGGTTGGCTTACAAAAATAATTAATAAAAGAATAGGTGTGATTAATTTTACCTCATCCATTATAGTTTCGATATTAAAATAATGTTCTTTAAGAACACCCAGAACGTGATCAAAGTCGGACGCGCGGCCGTTCGAGTTTTGATAATCGACTAGGTTGGGGAGGCTTTGCAGGAAAAGCTCTATATCCGTTCCGGATACGTTTGACGATTTTCTACAAAACCAAATAATTATTTCGCATATCTGCTGTTTTCTATATACCACAAGGACATGTTTCCATGGCACTGAATATAATCGGGGACATAATAAGTTTTCGTTTTCTTTGATATCTTCCCTAAACTTTTGTTCTTTGATGTGATTTGTTTGTTATTATTTAGTTGTTTCATAGTTTGCAATCATTTATAATTTTTAGAGAAATATGTAACATTATTTGTACAACTTGATTAGGATTATTTCCACTGAAGCTTGAGTACAATGGTCATAATAAATGGAAATACAAATTTATATTAACACCACATAAAAGAGACCTTTTTAAGGTACGAAGCGCGTACGTATTTCATTATTTATTTAACTATGTAAGCATTTCAGAAATATATAATAAATAAAACACTTACAAAATATTTTGTATATTTTGGGACCTTTTGTTCGACACCAAATTGTTATTACAAATGCTGACCGCCGGAAAGGGTACTTGATTTATTTTGCAGTTAGCATTTATCTGAAACCAATATCTGAATATAATATAATGAATTAATTACGAGTAATAACAGAATCGGTTTACTATATTTATATAGTTTAAACTTATAGTTAATGTTTTAGTGTAAAAATTAGTATTTAATTAATGGCTACGTGCGTATAAATAAACTTTAAATAAAACTCTAGTCTCACTCTTGTCATGATGCGTTGACCATGATATCCGTTTCTGATCACAACCAAATAGATGATGGTAACGATCAAATTGACAAACATAATTACTTTCCACAGCGCGTGTGATCTTTCCTTACTGGATAATTTTTTGAGGCCATGAATAGTAAGATTATCTAATATTGGTGGAGTCTTTACTTTTTTCATCTTTAAAAAATAAAGACCCTACACCTCAAATTTAATGAATAAATTTATTAAACTTGAGTGTGACCAAGATACTTTTAAACTTGTAAAATACTATACATATAAACTCAAAATCACAAAAACATTATCGTTAGTGTATAAAGTTAAGGTTTATAGTTGAAAAGTTTTATTATCCGAAAAACTGGGGTGTTGTTACAATGACATTTGTGTTATTATTTCTGGTTTTATATATTTTTTCGGCAACGGAGGCCCTGTCACCCACTAGTGAAATTCAAAAGCCCAATCATTCAACCTTGTTCCACGTGGGAGAGCCATGCTGTTGCTTTCGGCCTTCTCGGCAAACGTTCCTCTATATTTAAAGAATTAGAAGTATTTAAAAAATAAATCGAATCCACAAGATATGATGATCATAAGTCAAAGTCAATTAGTCAGTAGTGCGTTGGATCGATTTTCGATCGTTGAGTTCAGTTGCTCTCTGATGAGCGCTTGCGCCGTATGTCCACACAGACTTATTTTAAAATAAAGTCCAAATATCGGACAACGATAGTGATAAAAACTTGGCAAATATTAATCGCTTCAAATCTGCGACTTATATATTGGTTGTCAAATATTAATGCGTGCGTTCAGAAATTTATTTTGTGTAAGCTAAGGATAATATTATATCGAGCTAATTAAACATACAACAAATGAAGGCACATTGTAAGTATTGCAATTTTTTTTATGTAATAGGAGGCAAACGGGCAGGAGGCTGACCTGATGTTAACCATAGTGTCCATACACTCACATTGCCAGAAGGCTCGCAAGTGCGTTGCCGGCCTTTGAAGAATTGGTAAGCTCTTTTCTTGAAGGACCCGGAAATACTTTAGTGGGCAGTTGGTTCCACAAAGCGGTGGTGCGCGGCAAAAACTGCCTCAAAATACAATCAGTTGTGGAACGACATTATTATTATTCGATGATAGTAGCGAACTGTGTATTTATTATGGATTCATTGTTTTACTTTCATAAAATCATAAATTAAGTTCAGCTAATCTTGTTACAACACGATATTCATTGACTGTTAAGCGGTTCGAATATCGAAAATATAGTATAATATAAAAATAAAATATATAAGAAAATGACGTGTAATAAATTATAATCAGCTTATACAGGAAACTTATATCAATTAACGGAAAAGTTTTCTATAACTTTTTATAATCATGTTTTCAGTGACTAGTTAAGTTGAGAAAGTTATGAAGTAGCCCCTTTCTAATGTGTCGGTTATTAATAATTTATGGAATATTGGCTTAATTTGATTGTAATTAGCATACGGGTTAATTGAGAAACGATTACTTTCTCACTAGGATCAATTAAATGTATACTAACTTCACACGAGGAGATATAACAATACCCATTAATGTGCAAAGTGAGAAGTGCATAGCACGGGAATGTATAATTCTTATGGCTAAAATTGTATTTTGACGTAACAAATACATCATGGGCTACAGAAGTCTTATTCGACAAGTAAGCGGCAAGACCGCTACATTCTGTAGTCATTGCAGTCTCCATGGGTTCTACTACTTGGCGGGCAGCGCACCTCGTCTGGTGAGGGCTCTGTGGTGCATCGTCATCTTAGCAGGTTTCACCCTTTGTACCATTCTCAGCATCTTAATATGGGAAAAGTTTGATAAAAATCCGACATTTACTGTAGTAAGTTATCGTACTATAATTATTGCTTATATGATTTATCGTATTAATATCACATTTATCGCTAAAATAAATATAATATTAATACGACGAATGACATAATAAAAGATCAGCAATTTTTTTTTATTATATCTCAATTCTTCTATTACGAGTATATCTAAAGGCCATGAACACTTATATTTATATTTAATGCTTAATAAGCCTCTTTCAGAACTGATAGAATTATAATTCAATTTGTCGTAAATGTTTATACAGTTTTTCATTGTGCTTAAAAACTTACATTATAAGAAAAAAATTCTTTAAGACTTAGAGAATTTGAAATAAAGAATTTTGAAATACTTACCTTGTAGGGATAATTTATGTAATTTTATTTAACTTAATGAATTTTCCTCATCTTATTTCAAATGATATTTTAGGTGGAATCGGCGCATTTTCCAACAGAGGACATACCGTTTGCAGCTGTGGCCGTCTGCGACCAGCAAGTGTATGGTCCTGCCACAACCAAAACAACAAATATTCTGTAAACTTTCATTTTCTGAACAAATTCTCATGTTACAAGCAGTAAAGCAAGTAAAAATTGTCACTTAAAAGCTTTAATTGAAACGTGCCCATCATAATACAATGAAATAGGCCTCGGTGAATAGTTATTTCTAAATAAATTAGTTTAATTTCACGTCTATGGTGCTTCTTCGAATCATCTTTGCAGGACACTGCGAGGGTTTAACGCGAGTCAACTAACGAAATTCTACGAGAGCTTCGTTAAGATAAAGAGTAAACACTTCACGTCGGATTCGGAAGTGGCACGTATGCACAGTGTTTTAGAAGAATTACACTTTAGCTACTACGACCTTCTGTACGAGGTAACTTTTTTGATGTAATCTTATATTATAAGGAGCGGAAGATTGACTTATAATAAATCTTATTACGCTCCAGTAACAATGGCTAGACTGCAGGGCCCGAACAATCTTGAAATTAGACGAAGGGCATTCTGTTAATTCTTGAGTTTTTTCGCTCTGCTTTATAATTTGAGGTCTTTTGTCCTGTAATCCTTGGTAAACTTATTAATTGCAAGCATTATTGTATTATAAGCATTATGTTTGTGATGCCGCACCTATAATCGACATTGGTTCTTTCTTGTTTTCTGTGTTTTGTTATGCGCGGTCTTGATGGCGCGGCTATAAATAAATGAAGCTAAAGAAGCCCTGCTCGGATCTGGTGAAAGAGTGCTCATGGCGCGGAAGAACGTTCGATTGCTCATTTATGTTTCGAGAAGTGTTCACAATATACGGGCACTGTTGTCAGTTCGACGTTAATTATTTCACGTAAGGTTTCATACAGAATTTAACAATTAACATATGCATTGGTATGTTATTGACTACTTGATTTTATTCTTATGACATCATCATATTATACTTTCAGAGAGTTTGCAGGCAACGACACAAACTTGTCGGCAGGCGTACTCAAGTTAGAGGCACTGGACATCATTGTGGACAGCATGAAGGTTTATCCCAACGGAACGGTTCGCGATGGATATGTTATGGTGCAAATAAATAACAAATTTTAATGTTGTTTATATCCTTCGTAGAAATTTAAAACAAAAATCATGTGCCTGCTTGAAAAAAACATTATTTATTTTCACAAAAGTTTCATCTTTTAAAGGGAAATAAAAATTTAAAGATCTTAAAAATGTATGAAGCTAATTTTTACGCCATATTTTGCCATTTGTGTAAACAAATTGAAAATAATTAATTTGGACAGGCTTAAGAAATGGTAGCCTAAGGCAAATGTACGTATTTGTATTGTGTTGTACATATATTTTTCTTCTTAGTTACATTCACACAGAATTGGAATTCAAGAAGGTTTAATAATATTTATTAGAAAGATTGCAGATTTAATTTTGAGTCTGTAATTAAATGCTTATTTGATTTTTACCTTTACTAATTAGTAAAGGTTCAACTGAAATCGTTACTGTCTGATTATCATTTTCAGCTGTACATATTCGACCAAGATAATCAGTTGTCACTTCTCGACAGTCCCATTTCTCTGATCCCAGCCACTTATTTTGACGTCAGAATTGACGTATGGATCATCGAGGCCGGGGATGAAATTAAAAATCTACAACTAGGAAGTAGAAAGTGTTTCTTAGATTCTGTAAGTGGTTTAGTTTATTATAATAATAATAAGTTTGAGAATTAGCACGAGTAAATTCAATTTCCTTAAGAAAGTACAGTTTTGTAATTCAACATTAGGACAACAAGACGTACCATAGCTGCGTCAGCAATCATTTGATGAAGCAAGTAGTCGCCGCCTGTCTCTGTCTGCCCTTTAATTACGTTGGTAAGTATTGTTACGAGCTAGGGGATCGGATAGACAATGCCGTATATCTCTTCAAAGGTTTATTGTAAAGTAGTCAACGAGGAATTTAATTGCATTAAAAATACACAATTTATGCGGAATAAAACACGGTTTGTAATAACTTCAATTACGCGCACTTTCGTAGTACCTTATCACTTTTCGCAATTTAATCTCTCGAAATCACATAAAAAAACTGACCACAATGGTCGCGTTTCGGCGATTGGGAATAATGCGCGAAGGTGTATGTGGTGGACGAAATTTAAGAACTCTTTTACCAGGAGTAGCTGGAATTCTATCTTTATCCCACAATTATAAAACGTACGTGTTCAGTATCTCTTTCGCACACCATTCCTTGTCGTACGGCTTTCTAGAGTGTTCAGTTTGACGTCGAGAAGTTTCTGATTTTCTCGCTCTTTCGCATATTTCTACCGTTATTGCCCGGAAGAAGTTCACTGGTAGAATATGTTCATAAAGAGGACCAGATACGCCTAAAAACAGATTTACTGAAAAGTGTATCATGTTACTACAATTGCTCTGAAACGCCTGGAAATAATGTTTCAGCCTCCTGAAAACGAGGGTAATTTTAAGTGAATTCTAGTTTTCTGGTATGTTCTCGTCCTCTTCCGTCTATTTTTTAAATGTTCATGCGTTTACTCACAAGTTTTTTATATTTGTCTAATGCCTGTTTTATATATCTTGGCCGATTTTCTATATTTAAGCCCCTACAATAAAAACAAACAGCATTTATATATTATAAAGATTTTTATAATACTAGGAATATCGTTGTGTAATTTAAACATTGTTGAAAGCCAAAAACATGAAAACGGTAATCCGACCCGACCCTGTTTTAAGTGCTCGTAGAATTTAATGGTCTCGAAAGTAAGGAAATCGCGGTATTATTCATTTTACATTGCAATATCCCTAGATTTCTTATTTGATTACTGCTTGAAAAATCTTTACCATTAATTTACTGCTGTCTGATACCGGAAAAGGTATGAAAAACAATAACAGTGTAAAACAAATATTTAGTGCTATTCAAGCGATAAAACGATAATACCGATTTGCATAAATTTTAAAATGTTTTCGCTTTTGGTGAAGTTTTAGTTTCAAATAAAGTACCTCAAGATTCAACTATCGCTAGAGTTTCGTTTCACCTGAGTATTGTAAATATTGCGTCTGCTTGATTATTAAAGTCCATGTTGTTAAGAAGGCTGTAAAACATTTTCAGATGATGATAAGGAAACGTTGTATTCGCCCTGCCAATGGCCGAAACTCGGCTGTGTGTATCAAGCCCTTGGTGAGTGCATATTGACAAAGCTTTATCTCATATAAAAGTATATAAAAAATTCCAGTTATGGAACTCAGATAATGCCGTAAAACGCATGGCGTGTATAACAGGCGAACATTGAAGCAACGACCTAGTACATATTACATCTCAAATAGATACACAATAATATATTATAACACTGTGAATAAGAGTGAAGAGGTTTCCGTTTTTAGTCTTTATGGCCCATGACTTCGGCTTGTCAATGTTTTTATAAGTCACGATTATGCGTGCGTTTTGCATGTGCTTCTATTTCTAGGCACATTTGGTTCACGTGTGCGGTTTTATCCCTTCTGCATAGACGTTGCACTAATGTGGAAGGCCCAAATTATACCTTATATCTTTAAGTATATCTTTTCTTTGTTTAATAAACATGTCTCTAGCAAATAGTCTAACTACGCACTTCCTCTCTTACGGGTGTTCCACGTTGCGTCTATATCCTTTCTTTCTGAAATAAGTGTGGTACTTCATTCGTTTAATATTGTTTTAAATTATTCAAGTTTGAACCCCTTGTTGGGGTTATAGGTTAGTCTCTTAAGTTTGATGCGTATTTTGGCTACCAGAATTTTGTGGTCACTTCTACAGTCAGCTAAGGACAAGGGTATTATTTTGAGTTTGTTACACAGGAACTCCATATTTAGTCATTATCTAATCATGGTCCAAGTGTATCTCCTTCTAGGGTGGCCTGTTGTGACGGAAAGGCGACGCATAATTCAAGCCACATAGCTCCTATATCGTTTCTTTGTCCTAGGCTATATTTTCCGACAATATTCCTCAGGTAATTGTCATTTCCTGTGTTTCATTCTTTCGGATTAAGGTCTATAGTAATTTATATTTTGGGAAGTATCCTTAGAGTACCGTCAAGCTGTTCTTAGAATTAATTATTTTGTCCCTCTGATGAGCCTGCAGTTGGAGCTTATACAAGTACGTCGTTGAGGCTGCACGGTTTTGAGTCGTTCTTTAGTCTTTAGATCATTTACTACTATCAACCTAATCATGATAGTTCTACTACTAGATATATTGCAACCCCGTTTCTGCTTTGTATTTTTTGCGGTGAGTAGTAAAGAGTGTGTCTGATGTGGGTTTTGTAGGGTCTTCCTCTACTTAACATAAACTGTTTTCATCGACAGTAGTATTCTGGCCTCACTCCATCTGGTGGTCTACGCTAGTAGGGTGGAGTGGCTAGTAGCATATTTGACACCACGTGTGCTGGACTGAACATGTCACCGGGTACCTGCAAACATTTATTTCTGATTTAAATTTCTATTCTCTCATTTACCCTCAGCATTACCAATTTCTAGGCAAAGTGGATTGGTTTCCCCTTGCTTTCTGCACCACAGTTTAGGTTTTATTAAGTACCCGATACGCCGAAGTAACTTCGTCTGCCTTGATTTCCGTCTGTCTCACTGCTGTGGCAGGTGTAACGTCGTAACAGGCATTACCGTCGAGTAGGTAAAAAGGTGAGAGTTGAGTAGGTGAGGACAGGCTATTTGACAGAAATATTAAATGTCATGTATTCCGAGTCACTCACCGTTGATACCAAACATAATATTAAACATCCAAATATATTACATAATAGGAGCTAGTCACTCAATAAATCGCTTATATTTTAATTAAATTACATTAGGAAAATTTAAATTCGTCTGCAGCAACTACTAAAACTTTACCAACTAAAATTCTGAAGAGCGATGTAAAGCAAACTAAATGATCATCCCAACACAGTCCATTTCAATACTTACTTTAATCGAATACGCTATCTCCAGTTATAAAGGGTACCCGAACTTTAGAGATACAAAGGTTAACCAGAAGTAAATAGTGAAGTTTGTTAAATCCACAAGACTAGAGCGTACAAAATATTTTACTAACCATTAGCTTTATTATCAGAAATAGGATATTTTTTTTAGTATTTCATTGTTAGAGTAAGTATGTGAGAAATGTTATATGAAATTAAAGATTTATGTATCGTATAATATTTCCATTTACCTACTTATTGAATTAGCCATGACATACACATTACAGATACATATTATATAAACGTTATAAAATTTATTTTAGCTAAGATGTTTTATCGATTGAAAAGCATTATAAATACACAGGTTATTCATTCCAATTTAGATGCATTTCGATAAAGTTTTCTTCTAGATAACGCACAACGCCATATGCGCACCATCATATCACAGAGGGAGTGTTACCAGACATGTGACTACGTGCAGTATGAGACTAAAACAGACTATTCGAAACCAACGAGGCTACGTGGGTAAATATTAAATCATACTTTCATATAAAAAAATCGAACATTTATGGAAAATCAGTCAAAATTACTACATGAATAAATAAAATATATATAAGATAATATTAGGAAATATAAATAAATCACTGGCTAGTATATATAAATGAATTGTATTTATTTCGACCGTATCGTGTAATTGGCTTGCAATGAAGATAAATAATACTGAAGTGATATCATCTTATCCCAACCAAAGAAATTGATACAAATTCGTAACGATGTTTCCGCAGTGGTTTAATGACGCAACCATTTGGGCGGGAAATGGAAAATATATCGATGGGCCTATCTAAGCGTTGTCTATGGTTACGCGGAAATCGTTTATCGTCATGTCTGAATTACATTTTACAACACTTTGGTGGCTTTCGTATTTGTATTAAATTAGGTGTGAATGATTTTGTTTCAACTGTACAGGTCCTTCCGATCGTAATCAGGCTATACTAGACGAGTAAGTGATGACGAAAAGTCGTTTCCAAGTTGATTTGTTTTTCTTTAAGAATAAAATCAAGTAAAAAGGAGAACAGTGGCCTCAGTCGCGTTACTGTGCATTTTGCTGACAACCTCTGCATTAAATACAGGAGAGAGGTCCTTTACACTTGGGATCAGATGTTGGGTAAGATTGTTGACAAACTCATTTTTATTACAAACGCGTAATGCAACTTTATTCGAGTGCATTTTTTTACTTTAAATATCTTTAATCGAAGAACCTACACTTTTTTTGTGTAAAAAATGTAAATAATAAACAAGCAATAACATTTTAAGACCGTGTTATCTCTATATAACGACACTCAAGGCCCGTGTATATTTTGACGTTACAAAGAGTGGTTTAAATGTGGTGGTGTCGAATGGAAAGAAGTAATATCTGTATTAGAAAAATATCTGTATTATTACCGACTAGTGTTAGTAATTACATAAAGAGACAATTCTTATCAGAACGCATAGTATAGCACATAGTATAGTCAGTTATTTTCGCCTGACGTCTTTTGCTGCACCTGAAAGTTTGTGAGCCACTAAGAAATTAAGAATACATAATATATGATAACGTATAGATGACATGACTCTTTCTAACAACAGTTTGTCTACGCGTGCAAGCAATCTCAATTTGTAAACAAAAGAACGGATTTCTTAGAAAGATCGGTACGTATGACGATAGTCGATTATTACGGGCTAGGACAATAAAGCGACAAAAGAACGTATACATCTGTCGTTAAATAGAAACACGTTACATAGAGGTTTACTGTATTTGGAACTAAGCAAATAATAATTTTATCCCTTTATTTTACATACATTAGATAATCTGCTTCGTGCCAAGCCTAATTAGGTCACAATAAAGGTAATTAAATAAACCAACTTTGACAAAATTCTCAGTTTGACTATACAAAGACTACCAAATTTACAAGAAATTAAAAAGTCCTGGGACTGAATTGGATCATCATTGTCCAAGGGCGGCGGCGTCAACAAACAAACTCAACAAACTCAGTCGACCGTAGAAATTTTGTTTATAATGAAATATGTATTGTAAAAAGCAGAAATGAACTACAACGAAGTTCCTTTTTAATGAGGCACGGGAGAGTTCTATTTTTACGTCCAAATCGGGCTCTTTCCTGGCGTAATACGTCACCGATTTTAATAAGATGTGACGGTTTTCTGAAGATGTTTTTTTCCTCCTTCGATAATATAATATGTATAACATAAAAACTTTAATAAAGAGGAATAAGCCACTTTGAAATAATTGAATAAGAAGAGTCTTGGAGTTATACTCTAAAAAAAAGAAAGAGACCAGACAGAAGAAGGTATAATTGTTTTCTACACAGAGATAGAATCAATTAGTGAAGGCAAATCTGTTTATTAAATACGATTTAAGGAACGCACAATTCTGTTTTTATTTTAAGAAGGATTAATATATTTATTAGAAAAATACGTTGCTATATTCTTCATACTGTATTGTACTTGTATTATTACGATATTTTTAGAATATCAATGCTACCTAGATTGTCTTGTACACGTATTAATTAATATCATTTCTGCGTAGAAACAAATCGATGGTATTTTATCAAGAATGAATATAATGCCAAATTAACGTTAAAGATCTATCCCGCTATATATATTTAAATGCTGTTAATAAATGAGAAATTCATAAAGGGATCCTTCATCAATCTCAATGTAATTAATTGTCATTAACACATACTCCATGCGCTTTTGATGCAATGAATTAAAAATAAATTAATTGAAAATGTTACTCTCGCTTGTGTTGAACCACTTTCGTGGAACAATTTTTGAATCGCCTTTCTGATCGAAACGTTTCCATTAATTATAAAAAGTTGATAATTTTTTCCATTAATTGCTTGCTTTTGCTGCTTTAATGAGAAAAATATTTACAAAATCGTATTTTTACAGCGAATTTTGGAGGTATCTTCGGACTGTGTTTGGGCGGTTCTATTATTAGCATTATAGAGCTAGTTTGGTTTATATTCGATATACTTGCCACAATTATTCATTATTTATGTACAAAAGAAAAAAATAAGGTTGTGAAAAAAGCGTGGAAGAAAAATAAAAATAGCATAGTACCTAAATATCCGTTTGTTAACTAAATACGTTTTATAAGTAAGGTGAGTTGTTATAACAATGACTTGATGTGTTATTATAATTTATTTAAGCGACAGATTGTAGTCTAATAAAGTTTTACTAGTGTGATTGACTTCGTTTCAATATGTAGTATTATAAGATCCCGATTACAGCATAAAGCTTTTGGCTTAGACCAGTAAAAGAGAAACATTTAAATATTAACAAAACAAATCAAGTCAAATTATGATTCTTAAAAGAAATAGAAGGAATCTCAATGATTTACCAAAGCAACAATAAAAATCAAAGGTCAACTGACTCGATCATAACAGTTCCTGATAATCCTAGAATTCTCTATATATAAAAGATTTTCACCCGTTTTTTCGGATTTCAGGCTCGGTATATTTTTGGCATCACATTGATTACGCATTGATATGAATGATTCGAATCTGAGCTGAGAGGTAAATTCACTTCATAAGTTAATATAAAATCAATAAGTAAAAGTAAATGGTATAAATCGCAAACCCGAGTTGAGGCCGTTGAGCCTAACGCTTTCCCGCAAGAGCCATTCTACAATATGCAAATGAAATGAAAAACTGCAGAAAAATATAGATTTTTTAAGTATTTAAATCAGTTTTGTACCAGTCCAAGTTCAATCAGTTTGGTGAGAAAATCAAACACAAAGACGACAAAAGATGAAAGACGGTGCGTAGAATTGTGATTGGTCAAAGTGTGTTTCAAGTCTTGTATCATTTGTGTCATGTTAAGAAAAGATTTCTCTCCTGGTTGGTTTTGAGAATTATTTTAAAGATAATTTCAAGTGGCGGTTTATTAACCAAGTGCCATCTAACTAATAACACTATTTGAAGTTAAGTTCTATTACTTTACATATTATATCACAATAAGAAAGTAATAGTACTGTACTGTTACCACGCTTCATGTACGGCTTATTTACTAGAAATTAACAGCTCAAGTGAAACACAATATCACTAGTGGTGAATTGGTAATAACTGAAATGGATAATATGCACAAAGGCTGAAGTGGAAATGGGCCATAAAGCAAAGCTATATTGGGCATTATTCCTTGCATAGCATAATCCAGATTTGAACAAGAATAAGGATTAAAGTACGGATACGTATAACATAAGTAGTTATTGGAACACAATTAATTATTATAATTAGATAATGATTATGAGTAATAATATATAATATAATTTAATTAAAGACTGAAGTCTTAATTAGTGAAGGGCCTGTCTGTCTTGAAAAGCCCTAGCCGATACGCTGACTGTCTCCCGTCTCCTGTCACCCTGTTCTATCCTACGCTTGCCTCAGGGCATTGTTGAAACTCATAATTGTCTTGTGTTGGTAACAACTGGCGATTCTTCGGTTGGAGACTTCTCCTGACCTCACTCCTCCCTACAAATACCAGTTCGTCAAGGCTGGCGAAGTTCTCTCTTGGTAAAATGGTCAAAGTTTGTTGTAATTGGTAGTGGTTGAAAAGGAACTTGTCGATTCTTTTTACATCCATGGTATCCGTATCATTCTCCTCCAACACCACATCTTAGATGCCTTTGTCCTTTTCGGTCTAATTTTCGGTTCGGTTTTGCCAAATTCTGGTCAATTTGCCCATTGCTGCTATAGCCATCTGTGCTCCCCTATGGATGTCCCCGTTACATGATCCCTTTTTAATAATATGTACATATAACACTATACGGCACTTCATAATTAAAGAAAATATTTGTTACAATACCATCTTTCTACTACTCAAGTTGTAAGCACTTGTTAAAAGCGCCATCTGTCGTACGATGGAAAATGTCTTACAGAAATTTCGTGATATGGGGAAGGTTGTAAAATAATATAAAAAGTATCTTTTAAAGTTTGTCTGTGTGAAGACAGGTGTCGCTTTATTACAAATTATTGTTTGATAGATAAAAACAATCGGCGTGTTAAAATTTTTGACATCATATTGTATATCGAAACTTAATGCAAAAGTTGTAAAATTATTTATTTTGTTTTCTTGTTTTAGCGGTTAATATTTAAATGATAGTCATATGAAAATTCTTTGAAAATCATTCTATTTATTATGTGAAAAAGCCATAAAAATTTGCTTATGTCCTTCTATTTAACTGTTTTGTTTTCTTAATAAGGCAAAATGGGGCTAGTTTCTGATCTGCATTGAATCAGTTTTCCAAACTAATTTCACTGTAGTAAATTAAGTTTGTATATTATATAGTATAGTTCGATCGTGTCGATGCATTTCGTTTTGTGAAGTTATTTACTTTAGTTAGTTAAAGTTAAAGTTGTTCCATCTATATTATAAAGAGGCATTGCCAAAGTTTTTCTACATGTTGAATGTATCTTTGCTCTACATATAACGAACGAACTAACGAACAGTGGTTTTTATCAAAATTTTATCAAAAAGAAAACATAGTAACAGCTAACCGATTGATAAACCGTTGCATGTACATTGTACGTACCCACTTAGCCTCCAAGGAAACATTAAAAAGTCTATTTATCTGCGAAAGAAAATAAACTTAATTAGCAGTGCGTGGTTTGAAGTCACTTATATATACTTAACACGGAATAACGATTACAGGAGCAGCCCCTCATCATTTATCTCTTCTTCATGTTTATATTTGGACACACACACTCATCACGCGAACGAGGCCTGAATAATTAAATCAGCCGGTTTTAAGACAAATCGCCAGCGTTCTGAACCAATTGCTATATTGCTTGCGTGACCTGAGTTTAGAGCAACGCTTTCGGCTTTTTAACATGGATTGGCTTCTATTTTATGTTATGTCCAGAAATAAAAAACACCAAATATAGAATACGTTACTTTAAGAATTTACGCCGTTACAATAGTTATAATACAGTGGCGTTCCAACCGCATAAAGTAGTTTTTTGGGTCTAAGGAACTCAAATGGATTCCGCACATTATTAAAATTCAGACATGTCGAGTCTGTTCTGTGCGTTGCTCGGGATTCATTCAGTGCAGGCTTAAAGACTGCTCTTACGCCCATATAACTGACATTATATATTTCGGAGAAAAGGCTGTCAGCTACATTTGTCGTCAAATGAACTTATATATTAACAACGTCAAAGTCAAATCAGTTTAAAACCTGTTAATTCTTGTGGTTTATTTGATTTGCCAATGTTACTAGATCTATAAATTAACGACTATCTAATGGTCAAAGTTGTAGTCATTCCATGATCCTTGTTATTATTAAAATTAATTTATTATCATTTTAAACCTTTGAGAGTTAAATGCAATATTCAAGTAACTATTTGACAATCGTTCCTAACACTGCCTTTTGACTCTATTCGACGACAATATTCATTTTTTGTTTAATCAAGCATTCAACATTAATTCGTTAATTGTTAGTTAATGCCTTTAATTTTCTACCTTCCTATCTCCATATATAATCCTTGACCTTCCTTTGCCATTATCGTCCTCCTTCCTCCGCCTCCTTGTCTTTAAACTGAAACTTGTATACTAAATTGCTTTATATAAAAAAAAATGTGTATACGCATTACTAATACGTGCGAAAGTATCTTCATTGTGACAAAGCATTCGTAGCAGCGTAGCTCGCGCGTAGCAGATACATTTCCTTGTAGAACGATAGACTGTCGTAGTAAATAAGTGCTGCTTACTTATATGTCTATTGTACACTTTTCGAGTAGTTGTCCTACCAAAACTACGAACATAAAATATTGATGTTTAAATTGATATGCGTACATTGATACTTTATTATTCTGAACATTAACGTCTACTATAGTGCTACTATATAAGCTACTTAGTGCAAGAGAGGCAAATGAATATACCTACTGTAATATCTATGAAACAAGACGTCCGCTGAAGCGTAGATTCACTTCGCTGCATTCAGCAGAGTGCAGGGTGTAAAATAATTGTTAATTAAGTTAACCCGAGCATTATCTGCATCTACGATCTATCCCCTCGCTCGCTGCCAACAAACTAGCTGTATTCTGACTAACTCAGTCACTAAAATTTCGCAGGTCGAAGAAAATAAACGTTATTAATTATCTAATTATTAAACTATTTAACTTCAGACTCAGATGTGTCTGTGTGTGTCAAACACGCTCATATCTTTTATTTTTTTTTGTAATTTACTTAAATATAATAAGTTAGAACCTGTGAAACGTCTCAAGTAAGGCGAGTCGATGGCACTGATAAAATATAAAGTTAGAAATATATTGTTTTGATTCGTATCAACCCCATTAAATATTGTAAGCAAGGAACGCAAATGATAGGTGCATATCGGAGTATATCGGCGCAAATAAAGATTTGAATCGTAAAATCGTATCGCGATCAGGATCGTAGGAGGTGGTAGGAGGTGGTGGTATGGCGGTGCGTATTTTGTGTGCAATGTAGCTTTTACGATCACCATAAATCCAAGAAGTACCTCAAGAGTTTATTTATTCGCATGAAAAGCACTTTTGTCTTTTAGTCGAGAAATATTTGTTTTATTTAGTTTTTTTAAATGTTCAATGAAGTCTATCAAGTCTTAACACAACATTTAATATTTTTTACATGAATTAACTATTTTAATCTTATCTTTATGACGGCACTTGTACACTTGACTCGGGATTTTATTGAAAAACATAGATAATTTTTTAATTATTTAAAAGTTATTAATATCGCTTTGAGCTCAGGTGCTGTTATAAAACCGCTGAAGTATAAATAGTTGTGTAACGTCCAATCTTGACCCGACAACGCAAGTGTGAATAATTCCGAAAGCAAGAGCTTCTCGCCGTTCTCTAAGCTCACCTGGTAATTAGCCTTCTACGTGAAAGCTTACATAAATAATATTATCTTAAGTGCTAAGAATAAATGTTTCTAGATATATTATTAAGTATTTAAATTAAATAAATTATTTGATTGGCCTTCTATTTCTTATCCTTTTTGGGTTTGAGATATTATAGTTTAGTTTTCGTAGCTAGAAAGGAAAAGCATTGAAATTCAAGTGACTTTAATATATTAACACAAACTAAAACACAGCTTCATCTTA